AATTTAAATTCAAATTTAAATTTAAATTTTTTAAAAATTTAAAATTTGTTATAGTTTTCTTACATTAGACAAGGAAATTGGTTCTAATTTATCATTTCTAATTTAATTAAATGCCAAAACTGCTAAAAAAAAGCTTATTTTGAACCTAATTGACATGCGTTGTTCCAGTGCTGATCCTATATTGTGTTGTCATTTTATAGTTTAAAATATTAAAATACGCCTTTGTAATTAAGTTTTGCGCATAAATTTATCAGCAAAGTTAATAAAAACATTCAATTAATCGTGATTTTATTTCAATTTAAGAATTTAAATTAAATTTAAATTCAAAATTTAAATTTTGAATTTTTTTAAAATTTTAAAATTTGTTATAGTTTTTCTTACATTAGACAAGGAAATTGGTTCTAATTTATCAATTTCAATTTATAATTAAGTGCCAAACTGCTAAAAAAAGCTTATTTTGAACCTAATTGACTATGTTACGTGCGTTGTGCCAGTGCTGGTCGTATATTGCGTGTCATATTATAGTTTAAATTTTAAAATACGCTTTTGTAATTAAGTTTTGCGCAATAATTTCATCAGCAAAATTAATAAAACTTTCAATTAATCATGATTTTATTTCAATTTAAGAATTTAAATTAAATTTAAATTCAAATTTAAATTTTGAATTTTTTAAAAATTTTAAAATTTGTTATAGTTTTCTTACATTTGATCAAGGAAATTGGTTCTAACTTTATCAATTTTAATTTTAATTAAGTTCCAAAACTGCTAAAAAAAGCTTATTTTTGAACCTAATTTACTATGTTACGTGCATTGTACCAGTGCTGGTCCTATATTGTGTTGTCATTTTATAGTTAAATATTAAAATACGCCTTTGTAATTAAGTTTTGCGCATAATTTCATCAGCAAAATTAATAAAACTTTCAATTAATCATGATTTTAATTCAATTTAAGAATTTAAATTAAATTTAAATTCAAATTTAAATTTTGAATTTTTAAAAATTTTAAAATTTGTTATAGTTTTCTTACATTAGACAAGGAAATTGGTTCTAATTTATCAATTTCAATTTTAATTAAGTGCCAAACTGCTAAAAAAAGCTTATTTTGAACCTAATTGACTATGTTACGTGCGTTGTGCCAGTGCTGATCCTATATTGTGTTGTCATTTTTTTTAGTTTAAATATTAAAATAGCCTTTTTAATTAAGTTTTGCGCATAAATTCATCAGCAAAATTAATAAAACTTTCAATTAATCATGATTTGGATTCAATTTAAGAATTTAAATTAAATTTAAATTCAAATTTAAAATTTGAATTTTTGAAAAATTTTAAAATCTGTTATAGTTATCTTACATTAGGCAAGGAAATTGGTTCTAATTTATCAATTTCAATTTTAATTAAGTGTCAAACTGCTAAAAAAAGCTTATTTTGAACCTAATTGACTATGTTACGTGCGTTGTGCCAGTGCTGATCCTATATTGTGTAGTCATTTTATAGTTTAAATATTAAAATACGCCTTTGTAATTAAGTTTTGCGCATAAATTCATCAGCAAAATTAATAAAACTTTCAATTAATCATGATTTTAATTCAATTTAAGAATTTAAATTAAATTTAAATTCAAATTTAAAATTTGAATTTTTAAAAAATTTTAAAGTTTGTTATAGTTTTCTTACATTAGACAAGGAAATTGGTTCTAATTTATCAATTTCAATTTTAATTAAGTGCCAAACTGCTAAAAAAAGCTTATTTTGAACCTAATTGACTATGTTACGTGCGTTGTGCCAGTGCTGATCCTATATTGTGTTGTCATTTTATAGTTTAAATATTAAAATACGCTTTTGTAATTAAGTTAGGCGCATAAATTTATCAGCAAAGTTAATAAAACATTCAATTAATCATGATTTTAGTTCAATTTTAGAAATTAAATTCAAATTTAAATTTTGAATTTTTTAAAAATTTTAAAGTTTGTTATAGTTTTCTAACATTAGACAAGGAAATTGGTTCTAATTTATCAATTTCAATTATAATTAAGTGCCAAACTGCTAAAAAAAGCTTATTTTGAACCTAATTGACTATGTTACGTGCGTTGTGCCAGTGCTGATCCTATATTGTGTAGTCATTTTATAGTTTAAATATTAAAATACGCTTTTGTAATTAAGTTTTGCGCATAAATTTATCAGCAAAGTTAATAAAACATTCAATTAATCATGATTTTATTTCAATTTAAGAATTTAAATTAAATTTAAATTCAAATTTAAATTTTGAATTTTTTAAAAATTTTAAAATTAGTTATAGTTATCTTACATTAGGCAAGGAAATTGGTTCTAATTTATCAATTTCAATTATAATTAAGTGCCAAACTGCTAAAAAAAGCTTATTTTGAACCTAATTGACTATGTTACGTGCGTTGTGCCAGTGCTGATCCTATATTGTGTAGTCATTTTATAGTTTAAATTTTAAAATACGCTTTTGTAATTAAGTTTTGCGCATAAATTCATCAGCAAAATAAATAAAACTTCCAATTAATCATGATTTTAATTCAAATTTAAGAATTTAAATTAAATTTAAATTCAAATTTAAATTTTGAATTTTTTAAAAATTTTAAAATTTGTTATAGTTTTCTTACATTAGACAAGGAAATTGGTTCTAATTTATCAATTTCAATTTTAATTAAGTGCCAAAACTGCTAAAAAAAGCTTATTTTGAACCTAATTGACTGCGTTGTTCCAGTGCTGATCCTATATTGTGTTGTCATTTTATAGTTTAAATATTAAAATACGCCTTTGTAATTTAGTTTTGCGCATAAATTTATCAGCAAAATTAATAAAACATTCAATTAATCATGATTTTAATTCAATTTAAGAATTTAAATTCAAATTTAAATTCAAATTTAAATTTTGAATTTTTTAAAAATTTTAAAATTTGTTATAGTTTTCTTACATTAGACAAGGAAATTGGTTCTAATTTATCATTTTTAATTTTAATTAAGTGCCAAAACTGCTAAAAAAAAGCTTATTTTGAACCTAATTGACTGTGTTACGTGCGTTGTTCCAGTGCTGATCCTATATTGTGTTGTCATTTTATAGTTTAAATATTAAAATAAGCCTTTGTAATTAAGTTTTGCGCATAAATTCATCAGCAAAATTAATAAAACTTTCAATTAATCATGATTTTAATTCAATTTAAGAATTTAAATTAAATTTAAATTCAAATTTAAATTTTGAATTTTTTAAAAATTTTAAAATTTGTTGTAGTTTTCTTACATTTGATGAGGAAATTGGTTCAAATTTATCAATTTTAATTTTAATTAAGTTCCAAAACTGCTAAAAAAATGCTTATTTTGAACCTAATTTACTATGTTACGTGCATTGTACCAGTGCTGGTCCTATATTGTGTTGTCATTTTATAGTTCAAATATTAAAATACGCCTTTGTAATTAAGTTTTGCGCATAATTTCATCAGCAAACTTAATAAAACCTTCAATTAATCATGATTTTAGTTCAATTTAAGAATTTAAATTAAATTTAAATTCAAATTTAAATTTTGAATTTTTTAAAAATTTTAAAATTTGTTGTAGTTTTCTTACATTAGACAAGGAAATTGGTTCTAATTTATCAATTTTAATTTTAATTAAGTGCCAAAACTGCTAAAAAAAGCTTATTTTGAACCTAATTGACTATGTTACGTGCATTGTGCCAGTGCTGGTCCTATATTGTGTTGTCATTTTATAGTTTAAATATTAAAATAAGCCTTTGTAATTAAGTTTTGCGCATAAATTTATCAGCAAAATTAATAAAACATTCAATTAATCATGATTTTAGTTCAATTTAAGAATTTAAATTAAATTTAAATTTAAATTTAAATTTTGAATTTTTTAAAAATTTTAAAATTTGTTACAGTTTTCTTACATTAGACAAGGAAATTGGTTCTAATTTATCAATTTTAATTTTAATTAAGTGCCAAAACTGCTAAAAAAAGCTTATTTTGAACCTAAATTAATAAAACTTTCAATTAATCATGATTTTAATTCAATTTAAGGTTCAAAACAAAATTAAAATTCAAATTTAAATTTTGAATTTTTTAAAAATTTTAAAATTTGTAATTGTTTTCGTACATTTAACAAGAAAATTGGTTCTAAATAATCATTTTTAATTTTAATTAAGTGCCAAAACTGCTAAAAATAGCAATGTTTTCAAGTTAATTCATTATGTTATATGCATTGCAGCAGAGCGGGACAAGTATGATGTGGTCATTTTATAGTTTAAATATTTAAATGCGCTTTTGTAATTAAGTTTTAAGTAAAAATTCGTCTGCAAAATTAATAAAGCTTTCAATTAATCGGGTTTTTAATTGAATATAAGGTTCAAAATTAAATTTTATTTCAAATTTAATTTTTGAATTTTTTAAAAATTTTAAAATTTGTAATAGTTTTCGTACATCTAACAAGATCATTTTTTATTTTAATTAACTGCCAAAACTGCTAAAAATAGCAATATTTTGAAGTTAATTCATTTCGTTATATGCATTGCAACAGAGCGGGACAAGTATGGTGTGGTCATTTTATAGTTTAAATATTAAAATGCGCTTTTGAAATTAAGTTTTGCTCAAAAATTGATCACCGAAATTAACAGAACTTTCAATTAATCATGATTTTAATTCAATTAAAGGTTCAAAATTAAGTTTAATTTGAAATTTAAATTTTGAATTTTTTAAAAATTTTAAAATTTGTAATAGTTTTCGTACATTTAACAAGAAAATTGGTTCTAAATTATCATTTTTTAATTTAATGAAGTGCCAAAACTACTGAAAATAGCTATTTTTTCAATTTACTGAAGTAAGTGAATTAAGAAAGTACGTCCATTCTATCCGCTCTTTTTTTTTTTTGTATTTAAGGATCAAGCTTTTGTCGGGTATTGCAACAGAATGGGCGAAGCTTTCATTAAAGGTTAAAGAAGTCCACTCTTCTTTTTTTCGTGCCAATATTTAAATGCAGTAACGTTTTTGATGGTAGCAAATATAGTCTATTTATATCAACCACTGATTCCATCTGCTAGAAAAAGGAAGTGCAGGGTTAGCACTTTCACGACACCTTCTCTCCAAACCGAAAAATATGGATGTTGAAGGTAACGTGTTGTTTAAGGCTAATGATGATTTTGTGATATCTAGTTTTTTCAACTTTTTTAATGACAAGATCTGCTACATTTGGTTGATACGTTTTAGAGGTGTTCTAGAGGAGGGTGTTTTTCATTACTGGTTGCGATAGTTCTATCTGCACGTACAACGTCACCTCGAGTTGCAGCTTTGACAAATCTTGGTGCGTTTTTTAGGAATAAGACTGTAGCCGTGGTTATTAAGTATTTAACCCTCGACCCGGCAAATTTCCAGTAATTTTTTGCACTATATGTACCTTATGTCTTCACAATATAGTATAAAATTTATTGCAGCTGAACAAGTTATTCGTCCTTGCCAACTCATATTAGTGACCCTGATAAAGATGGTTGGACATCATTGCGAGTACACCTAGCTTTTTCAGCTCACTTTGTAAGGCAGATGGATTTGAGATGGTATTGTGAAGGCAAGGAGGGTTAACTGTTGCCATAAAAAATTTTTTTCAGTTGCCATAAAAAATTTCTAAACAATCGAAAAATCGAAAATTTATAAACTAAAAATTATACAAAATAAAAAGAAAAAACTAAGAATAAAAAACAAGAAAAGCTATTAAGGGACAAAAAAATAAAATAATTCTTATGCGTTAAAGTCGCAACAGTAAGAAAATATTGAAATTTATAATGATAAAAAAATTTTCAAAAATTCAGAGAAAGTGAAGAATTCGAGAGGTATCAAAAATTCTTTGAAGTCCCAAAGTTCTATTCACTCGAAAAAATTATTCAAAAAGCGACATAATTGACAATAAATTTGGAAACTCAACATTTCAGACATTTTTTCATTTCATAACCCACATCTTTTTCATATAAGATTGAAAGAAGGTATAATTCCATACCTTCCTTTAATCTTGACCCACAAAGATAGTTATAAGATTGGCTCATAATCCTCATGCCACCTCATAATCCAGTCTACAAATAAAAAATTATGGCATTATTAAATTGATTAGTAATATCATAAATTCCTCAACTTCATATCTAATTAAATCACTAAGCAAACTTATATGCAAAAGAAAAATTTCAGAAATTAACGTCATTAAAAAATGCTTGAATGTAAAAATTTGCGGAGTTTGCCCCCACATAGCTCTCTAATAGTCTAGAAAGTAATCATCCTAAAGTGTAACATAACATAAATAAATGCAACCTAATAAATAAGAAACTCATTACAAATTCAAAAATGCAGAATTAAATACATTATAAGTTGCTACCAAATAGGAAAAATTTAACATGGTTAGTAACGATGAAAAAAGAATAAAATTTTTCAGTAAAAAAAAATAACACAAGTAATAAAAAATAAACAATAGTTTTGAGAAATTTAAAAAACAAAAAGATGAAAGTCGTTAGTATTAACCAAAAAACCATTAAAAGCAATAAATTATTTACATTATCCGAATGATAAATAAATTGTAAGAACAAACATTTATAAAATTTAACTTCATACAAAGAATTAATAAAACAAAACAAAAAACTAAGAAAAACAACTGAATCCAAAGTAATTTGATCTGAAGAACACAATATTTCTTAATCAAGTTTTTTTTTTCAATTTTGTAATGCAGAAAATTTTGATTTTATCTGTTTCAAGCTTTTTAATATTGACCATATGACTGCGGCTAAAGAAACATACATAAGCAAAACAAAACCCACGACTTTTCCCATACATTGAATTCAGTTGTTTCTACATCAAAATTATTTCAAACAAAACTCTTTTTTTATTATTTTATTTTATTTTTTTTTTTTGTTTTTTTATTTTTTTGTTTTTTTTTAATTTTTTTTTTTGGCTTTTTCATTTTCATTTTTTTTTTTGTTTTTTTATTTTTTCTTTTTTAGTTTTTTTCCTGTTTTTTTGTTTTTTTTTTTTATTTTTTCTTTTTTAGTTTTTTTTTTCTTTTTTTTATCTTTTGAATTGACTAACCCTCTTGGACGAGTGACTGCCTTCACTAATAATGAATGGAGAACTGGAGCAGGCAGCGACAGGTGGCCGCGTGAGGAGTGCCAAATACTATCACTGGCCTGAAAAAAAATCCACGGCTTAGAAAAGCTATGAGATCCACTTTATGAATTTTTCAATCATTCGAATCCTTTCCCACTATTAAATTTCACTTTTTCAATATTATTAATTTTTTACCTGGAATGAAGAGGTGACGAGCATCCTCCTCTCTCCCCACTAGATCAAGTCTGCGGCGCTTTACCTGTCTTTCATTGATTACGGCCGCACATGCCCTCGGGCACCAATCGAGGGCATGAAGCTCCACTGCTGCTGTTCTTTGTGCGGCCGTAAATCCGGGCGGCAGTACGAGGTAGTGGCCACAGCGGACGCAAAAACCTAGAATATGCATAATTAGTTTGCTAGGCTTCAGATGAATTAAATGCATTAACATTTCCAAAACACTAATTGAAAATTATGTTTCGAAATACCTACCGTCCTGCCTGTGCATCCTCGAGGCGTGAATACGCCACCCTTTTAATGTTCCGAACTGCCTGCTACAGATACCACACACTGAAAATAAAAATGATAAGAAAATGTCATTGCACAAATTGTTTTTTAAAGCATCAATGTAGAAAAATTTTGATCGTTTTGATGTATTATAAAAGACAAAATTATATGATTCATTCATAAAGTAAAGGAACAGAGTAAAATTTTATTTCTTTATCAAATTATAGGTATATATAATCATTCTCAAAGTTATTGAAATTACAAATTACCGATGTTGTTGTTTCCTTGTTCTCGAACCACCGTGTATGGTTCCGCCTGCGGCACTTGCAGCTCCCTTCGGAGCTGCTCCGGAAGATCCCCTAAGTCAGCGGGATGAAATTCTTCCGGTGTGACCGCAGCCAAAACTTCATGAGTGGCAGGGACCGGGATCTGGATCGCCCTCGTCCTTCTAAAACAAACTTAAATTTAATGCAAATTATTTAAAAGGTATTGCTTAATTATCTCTTTACTATACATTTGCTGTAAAAATTAAAACTTACAGGACGAGTTCGCGGATTGATTCAACCGGTTCCTCGGTGCCACTCATCTCCATTGGTGCCACCTGTACCGCAGGTTCTTCATTTTCATCGTTTGGCAGAGGGGCCCACTCTGCTTCGTATGGTCAATTTTCGCCATCATCATCATTTTCGGGCAAAGGGGCCGACTCTGCCTCTGCTTCATCAAATTCTGACTCCTGCGGTACAGCTTCTTCCTCCATTTCTTCCTGGGCATTTCGCCCTTCCATTTCATCCATTCTTCTATCCGTATCATCCAAGAGGGTCATAAGGGACCGTTCAAACTAAAAGGCTATCTTTTACAGTCATATTTTAAATTTGTGGTGGAAAATTTTGCAATCTTTCTTCCTTCAAATCATTATTAGTTCGTAGCAAAAAAAGGAGAAGAAAAAAAAAAAAAAAACATATGAAAAAAAAAGAAAGCAAAGTAAAATATACCTGAATGGTCCTTAACACAAACCTCTGCAATCTAAGAAACATCACAGGCTCTCTCCTCAGGAAATTAAAGAGAGCCCGGAGGTCCTGATCAGCTTCCATTCTATAAAATTAACAAATTAACTAAATATTCATTCAGCGCAAAAAAAAACACACAATGGAACTATTATTTATTAATGATAAGATAACACATTTAAATGTACTTACAATATACATTAAATATATCTTATATTAATATTAAACATTAAATATCTTACATTAAATACTTTCGTTGTAACCTAATCCCAAGAGAAGAAAAAAAATGATGAAAGTGAACATATATGGAAGTATTATTATGTATATCCTCGCGCTCATGGACAATATGCAACATTTTACTTCATGCACATACTGTCCAATCCTTTTGCTGTTTACAGAGGATATCATTTGCTCTCTCTTTCTAATCTCTGATACATCCGAATTTGGCATTCTTATATTATCTATATTATCATCCTTGTGCACAAAAAAAAAGAAGTCGATAAGGTCGAGATCTCAATTTTGTCTTTTAAATGATGTAAATTTTTTGAATTTCTTGGACTTTATAAATTTGTTAATAATTAATGAATGAACAATTTTTTAAACCAAATAACTTTAATTGCAATTTATTACTTCTAGTTTGTATCATTTTTAGGCAAATCAATGAGTAACTTTTTCTATGTTCTAGTCTATACATTCCACCAACTTTAGTTAATATGCTTATACCATTATAAAAGTTTTTTTTTTTTTTTTTTTTTCATGAACCTTAAAAACAAAATTTTTAAGAACACTGAAATTTTAATAAAATAAAAATATCATAAATGTTTCCATTAGTGGTATCATTTAATCATTGTCACTTAACCATTCATTTTTTTATCATGTTTTTTCATTTTTTTTTTTCACATCGAAACTTTTAAATAATTAAAATCACCTTTTTATAAATTTCATGTCAACAAATCCTTAAAAATATTACTCTGAAGTAGTAATAATAAGAAACATAAATTTATGATATTTCGGAAGCCATTCTCGTCATATACCTCACATGAGATGAACGAAATCATTTCATTATTGATCAACAAATCAATTCGGTTAACATTTATCAATTTCAGATCTAATAATTGCGACTGACTTTGACCAAATAATTATCTATGGTTGAAATTCTGTATCTCTCTAGGGTACAAGGTTAAATACTTCCTTCATATCTTTTCTCTTCCAATTATGCTACAGTAATACTACTCCATTTAGTTCTAGAAAGTGAGCACATATGGCGCAATTATCCTTCCATTTCATCAAAGCTGCGCCTACCATCGCATTCAGACTCTTCCGATGAGCGCAAGGAGTGCAAGGAGTAGTAGTCTGAGGAGAATGTGACAATTAGTACTATTCGTGCATATCTTAATATTACCTCATAAAATGCAAATTATTTTTTGATGAACAATAAAATGATTAAAAGTACTTCGAGATTTCTCTTCCCTGCCCTTCGGGCATTCATTTACCCTTATAATATGTCAAGCATATATTTTGCTGTGCTGCAGTAATTACTCTTTTTGTTTTCAGCAAGCAGACGGGTAGGGTAGGGTTATATCTCATCAGTTAAGTGCACGTATCATTGCATTGAGACATTTGTGATAGTCTTAAAGAGTACTCCGAGATTACTTCTCTCCTTTACTATAAGCACTTTATGTTTTATCAGCACTTATCATTGCAATCATTTTACTACAAGTTGGGCAATCATTTACCCGCATAGTATGTCAAGTACCGCCCCTCGTTTAATCCCATATTTTTTGGTTATGTTACAATAAGTATTCATTTTGCTTTCATTTTGCTTTTTCGTTTTTCGGAATTAGTCGGTCGGATAATCGAATTGTTAGTTTATTTATCGATTTCGTTATTTCTTTCAAATTTTCTTGCAATGTTCAGCTTAATAATACTGTAAATGTATTTCAAATTAACTGTTCGCATTCTCCCACTCCCATTCTCTTTAAATTTCACTTTTTTAAACTTTAAATTAATTGAAATCTGCTTTGAATGAGTTCTTTTAATCTAACATTCCTATAGCTTTCCATGCCTGTTTGATATTTCTTATTTTTCAGTTGAATTTTATCTTGTCTTCTGAAACAGTCAAGGTGTGGAATATTCTGAAGTATGCCGCTTTCTTCAGAGGTATTTCCGTCTGCAACTGTAGTTCACTGGTGAGAATTCAAAATTGTTTGTTGTCTTCCATGAGAAAATTCTGTCACTCTTATTAAAACTGCATATTTTTCTCCTAAACCTATGTCATTAATTAAGTTCATTAATAATGTATATTGTCAGGTTAACAATATAATGGCTAGATTTAATTCACTGCATAATTATACTTTTATTTACAGAATTTATTTACGTAAGCGAAAAAGCCTCTGTTGATTGCTATATTTACCATTCATTTGTGTCTTTTGTTATTTCCTCCACAATTTCATATGAGTCATTTCATGTTTGCTTCATTTAATGTTAATTAAATTTTTTCTAGAAATTTTTTGTAATTACGAAATAAAGCAAAAGTGAAACTTTGTTTACACAACCAACACGATGAACTTAAATTCTTTAAAAAAAGCCATTGCAACTGCAATAATTTGATCTAACCCACAGTTAAACACCTAAGTTTCTTGCTGAATTTTGTTATTGAAACGGCAGACTGAAAACAAACTGTGATCAGAAATACCTTTGGTGCTGTGGTAATGAAACTTGTCAAGTTAGTTTCTAATTTCATCCAGTGCATTACTAAAAATTATGCAAAAAGTTTAATGGCAGTCCAAGTATGGATTTCTCGTTATTCACCTAATATGTGGTATGAATAACTTTATAAAACATATGATAGTTGCAAATATAAGTAATATCGCATTACTGGAGAAGTGATCTGTGAAATGATAATTATTGATTTCAGGTTTCAGAAACAATAGTAGTATAACAAGCTGAGTTAAAAGTGCATTTTGTTACTAAAAATTTGTCAATTTAAAATATCATTCTTGAAGGGACGTTATCTTGAAGAGATTTTGATTGATCTTAGCAGAAGAAAAAATGATATTATGAATAGAAAGATCTTAGGATAGCTAGCTATATTCCTCTGTATTGTGTTGTTTTAAAATTGAGCAGCCAATTAGTGAGAGAAGTCAAAAGTAGGATTACAAGCATCATTAAGCATTACAGCAATTTTTTCTTTATCACTGGAGAATTTTGAGGTAGTTGAAAGTTTTCCGAAATTCAAAATCAGAGATTAAAGGAATCACTGATTCGTTGTAAGCTTCTATTAAAGTCACTTATTGCATACTAGCATTTTAGTTGGAATTGGAAAAATGTTGGTAATAATCAGAAAATTGTTAAACTATAAAAATAATTTTTATTTTTTAAGATTTTAAGGTAAACAAAATGATTTCTTATTAATATGCCTATACAGTGACCAGTTGTAATAAATTTTTCGATTTACTATCACGGCTGTGAGTCAGACTCCTCTATCCGGCTAATGTGGGAATACCGGAACAGGAATGATAAAGCTGCTGAAAGATTCCAGTCTATATAATTTAACTAATAAGCAAATCTAGTAAAACGATTCAAGACAATATAGACTGCTTCATTACTTCTTGTAGTTAATACTGCAAAGTTCAACCGATAAGAGAAGAATGAATTCTATGTCATCCATCTATTGATATAAACTACCTAAGGTTTAAAAAAAAGAAAAAAATCATTTACTTATTCAAAATAACTCTGATTCGGTCGGTGTTTGCAGTACAGAAAAACCAAAAATTTATGCAAAAAGATCTAACAACGGTCCATTTGGTGACGAAAAACTGACAATGTCAACTGTAAGGATAACAGATGATGAATCGCTTTCTGGAGAGGCAAAAATGTCTGAAATAAGCAGCTTAAGCTCATTTACGAGACAATCGGTAAATGTCAAACACAAAAATTTCTGATAAATACTTTTTATCGTTTCTATGCTTCTCAATTCTTATATTGAAATTCTAATTATATTAATGGAATTGAAAAAAAAAAGAGAATTATTTGAAAGTCTTAATAAATCAGATAATAGTAATGACATTAATAATGTAAATTAAAATAGATTTTATTACTAAAACTAATTTAAATCTTAAATTAGTTTATAATATAATTCCTTTTTTTAAACAATAGAATCCTGTGACAAATACGACACAAACTAGTACACAAGTTACTTCATTGGAACCTGCAAGTAATGAAGTACATGAATTTGATGTTGATTTACTCTACAGTTGGGAGCAATCTTCTGGCACATTATCCTATGAAGCCTGGTCTCCTAGCCTAGTTGATACATTTGACAATGCTAAAATGGTAACTTTGGTTTTGTTTTTTTTGAATTATTTAATTTGCTTTATTTTTTTTTTTTGTTTTAAGTAATGAATTTAATTCATTTATTTAATTTATTGAAATAAAACACTTAAAAATATCATTAAAACCTAACTTTCTTCGACTATACATAACTGAATGTTTTTAAAATTATTTATAATAAAGTATCAACTGTCTAACTTTTAGCTACCAAACTGTAAAGATACTATCTGTCGTGCAAAATTAAATCAACGTCTTTTGCGTGACTCAATGCCACCTCAAAAATTATTGTCAGCTAAATCATTGATAATACTAAATGAAGAAATGCGACGAAAGCGCATGCGTGGACATTTATTGAAACGAATTGTTGTACCATGCAAAACAAATGAAAATATGGAACGTTATGAATTAATTTCAAAGGTAATTGAATGAATCAGAAAACTGATGACATTTGCGCTCTAACAACTTCTTTGGTACAAAATATTTATACTAGAAACTTATATATATATATATATATATATATATATTGTTTTAAGATATGTGATGATGCTATCAGTGAATATATGACATCAAATAATCACCAAAATAAGCTACTAAAAATAAATTTGGAATGTGGTGGTGATATGCCACCTAGAATTAAAGTTAATGGTATTCGTGTGGAACAACCAATAAATTATGATCAGGACTATTATGATACTAGCCAATCGGTAAAAGTAAGTCAATTTTTAAGAGTATCATATAGAAATATATCACAGAAATTAGATTAGAAAGATAATTTAAAAAATTAAATTTATTTGAAAATTTTAAAATTGAAAAGGAAAAAAGAAATTAATTAGTATTATTAAAAATAGGTTTGCAACGCAAATCATTCATTTCGACATCGTTCAACATGTTCTCCAGCACTACCATATCCATCGGCTAATACATTTAGTAGATGTTCAATTGAAGATTATGTCAAAAAGTTGAAAGGACGTCGACAGATGCAAGAAAAACAATAATCTTTTATCTTTTAAATTCCTAATCATTCATACTTAATAAATAAATTATCACATATTTATGTTTTAATCCTTTTCTCAAACTAAACGATCAAAAATTTGATTTCGTTAATTATCACATGGAAACTAATCATTACAAAATCACATGTACTAAAATAAATATAATCTTTTGGTCTTAATTTTATAATAATATAAGCCTTAAGCTTATATTTTTATTTCTTGAACGTAATTTAGGATGAAAAAAAAAAAAAAATGTCTTAATTTGTAAAAAAAAATTTACATTTTATGTAAATTTTTCCAAGAATAATATAAGTTAACTAATGACATTAACTTTTTTATTTTTACTTATTTTATATTTTGTGGGCGGTGGAATTACTAGTCATTTATCATTTAATCAATAAATCAATTTAAAAGATAATTTGGTGGTGTGACAATAAACAACAATTTTGTAACGAAGTCAGCAATTTCAGTTAGTATTTTTTTTTTTTTGCATATGTGAATGTATTTTGTGAATAGCATTAATTTTTATGAATAATTATCAGTTAATGATAACATTGATAAAGCCTTCTAATCAACTTTTCAAATTTACATTTCAAAAATTTATTATTTAAAATGATTTGTTGTAGAGGCCATAACTGATGTCAGCACCACATCATGGTGCTTCTGGGCCAAATGAGTCAGCAGCTACACGAATCACTCCACCAGCCAAAAAATTATCAAAAATTAGCAAAAAATTAGCAATCAAGAAGGAACGACTTGTACCAATGAATGATTTACCACTTGATGCACCACCCGTTGATTGCCCGCCCGTTTATGAGGTAATTAACCTGTTGGGTACCCAGGAATTTTATTGATTGATAAATTATCTTTTTGATTTTCTTAAATTACTAACTGAAAATGATTCATTGATTCAGAATTGTTAATCAAATTTAATTTAATAAATTGTTAAACATTTGATCAGTTAATAAATCAAATTTAAATTTCATTATATCCGTTTGATTTCAGTGTTATTTCATCTCAAATAGTTTATTATAAAACAAAATTAGTTATAAAAATATGAATTCAAATAGTTTTTTTATAAAATAAATTTAAAAAATAATAATGTAATATAGAATTAGCCATAATTATTAAAATATCTTTATAAATAGAAGTATCATTGATATCTTTATCAGTGATACTTACAATTTATAAAAGTAACCTATGAAATTGCAATATTTTAGTGTTATGTAACGATGAAACCATTAAAAAAGCATCGTCTCACAATCACAAAACGTTATTTTGGTAGAGTTACCCGTGGTCTGATGCGATTAATGCCAGAAAAAAGTGCTAAAGCAACAAACGAAGCTATCGGTTCTGAATATACCATCGATTTAACTGGTGTTTGTATTTTTATTTATCATTTTTTTTTATTTTTATTTTTCATTTATCGATTTACCCGTTTTAATTTACATATTCATTTCATTAGTTAGACTTATGATATCAGTGCCTATATGTATTTTAAATTACTTATAAACCTAATTTCATATTTTAATATATTAAAAATAATTAAACAGTTATAAATTATTTCAAAGACATTTTATTAAAAGATATGAAAAAAAAAAAAAAAAAAAAGAAACATGAAAACATATTTTCTATTTTTAGGTAGCAATTTCATGTGATGACTCTAAACGAAGACTAATTTTTAAATTCAAAAAAGAATCACGTGATATAGGTCCAGTAAATAAGATTGAATATGATACATTCAAGGAAATGATCCAGAAACATCGTAATTATCGTCAAAGCGCTTATCGTAGCAAGTATATATTTTCGAAAAATTAAAAAACTAAAAAATTGAATATTAAGAATAATTGATATTGGCATTAGCTATTATTAAATGCTAAATATTATAATATTAATACAATTCAAATCTTATATCAATTACATTTCTTCTTCTTACAAACAGTAGAAATTTATGATAGAAAAAGAAAAAGAAAAAGAAAAAAAAAAAAGAAAAAGAAAGCTAAAATATCTTCTCTTCAACAGATTGGTTGATAAAATTTCATCTGATGGTTGAATTGGAAATACAAAATTATTTCCTTAAATGTAATCTTTTTCAAAAAATCTTCATCCTTTTTTCTATTGTTTTTTCTTTTTTTATTTTGTTTTTTTTTTTTTTTTTTAAAAAAGGATTTTTATTATTATTATTTTATAATAGTTGTTAAGAAAGGAGGATATCAATGAATTAATTACTGCAAATGCTTATCAGAGTAATGGTTCCAGTCCAGTAATTTGGCGGTAAGTTCTAAATATTTCAATAAAAACAAAAAATGAGCCCAGAATTTGAATAGTTAGTTTATTAAAAGAGCAAGAAAACTAATTGATCATTTGGTAAATTCCTAATTTTATTTAAATTTTACAAAATTTTTTCTAATGAATTCTTATAATTTTAATTAAATAGAAGAAAAAAATGCATGCTAGTATAATTGAATAGATTTTACTAGGCACAAGAATATTCAAATAATCAGTTAGGATTTTATGCTTAAATAAAAAAAAAAAAAAGGCCTGCTAATACGGAGCAAGATACTATTGAAACGGCCAAATTACGTGAAGATTCTCGTGGCAATACAATAGCTGAATTAAATGAAAAAGTGGCTAAAATTATTAATGATATCAAAGTAATTGCAATTGAAATGAAGCTAATGAGAAAAGAATTAAAGGTATCAGGAAATTTTGCTTTTTTTTTTCTTTTCTATTTTTTTTTTTTCAAAAATATAAATTCTTTTATTATTATTTATTTAGAATCAAAAATTTTCAGCAATTGTTAAATTTTTAAATTATTACATTAAAGATTAAGATTAATGAAGAAGAAGAAAAAAATTCTATTAAAATTATCAAAAGTCTTTTTTCTTTTTTTTTTTTTTAGGAATTAATAAAAACTATTCAAAGTGGAAAAACATTACCAACAACAGAAAGTAAAGAAAGTAAATTTTTTTTTTTTTTAATTTTAACCAATTTTACCATTCTAGTTATCCGTTTCTCTCTCTCTCTCTCTCTCTCTCTCTCTCTCTCTCTCAGTCCCTCTTTGCTGAATTTTTTTAATGTAAAAAATTGAATTTGATGACAAATGCATTAGCATTAAATAAGCATAATATAATTAGCCGTGTAATTTATAGTTAGTTAATAAAATTTTTCAAAAATTTTCAGACGATGATGATCATGATTCGGATGATTCTGATGAGAAAGCAGATGCATCTACTCCAGATAATAATCAAATATTAGTTGATGCAATACAAAAGTATTTACAAAGTTTTTCTTTTTTACTTTTTCTAATAAAGTAATTAAAGTGTACTTAAAGTTATCTATTATCATATTTAATTCATTAATTATAAGAAAAAATTAAATTTATAATTAAAAATGAATGACTAAAGCATAAGTTACTAAATTATAAATTAATGATACACTTTAAGTTTTAATTTACATAAATTATAAATTACAAATACAGCATAAAATCTCTCAATAAAATAATTTTTAAAAAAAAAAGCAGAAAAAAAAACAAAGTTTCCAATGAGAAAATTTTTTTGTCAGGAAATTATTAACATTCTTATTATTATTATTATTAATTTTTTAGCATTTAATTAAAATTATTAACATTTTTAACATTTAATTACGTTTCTTTCTTTTTTTTTAAATTCAATTTTTAAACAAAAAAATTTATTTCAAATTTTTGAACTATTAAAGAAATGAAATTTAATTATTTTTTTACTTTTTTTCTCTTCCATTTTGTGTTATTTACGGTTTTTTTTTTTTTTTTAGAGAAACGATGAAAGAAAAAATTATAGAAGATAAGAAAGGTTATATTTTATTTTATATCTGTTTAAAATTTTACATTTCACTTACAAATACACTTATCAATTATATAACTATCATAAATGAATGTTATACTTAAATATGCTTAATTAGTTATTTTCAGTAATTCAATCTGTTAAAAAATGCTATTATTAAATTAGTACAGTTATAGTACTAAAATATAATTTAAATGTAAGGAAATCTCAGTAAGGATGCATCGAATTATCATTGATAATATCATGAGTAATTAATTATTTCAAAAAAGAAATGATTGAATATTTTAACTCATAAAAGTAATTATTCATATCAAAAATGTTCTTTAATACCTGAGGAAAATAATAGCTATTATTTTTAAGATCATAAATAATATGGTTAAAAAATTTTAAAATTTTATTTTCATATCATAAATGTTTTAATAGAAACTTTGAAAGAAAAAAAAAATAAAAAAAGAAAAGAAAAACAATTGATATTATTTTTAGGAATCAAACTAAAGGATAAAAAAATTTTGTTAGTTTTTTTTTTCCTTTCTTTTTTTTCTTCCCTTTTTTTTTTGTTCTATTTGCATGTTTTTTTTAATTTTTGTGAGATTTCAATTAAAAAAAAATTTGCTTGTTTTTTTTTTTCATTTTGTATTTAGAATTATTATTTCAGACAAAAGAGTAAAATTTATTTACCCGAAGAAATCATTGAAAAAAAGGTAAATTATGTTTTTTTTTTTTTGTTTAATTACAAATAAAATTCAAAATTAAAAAAAAAAAAAAAAAGATTTTCAAAAAGTTTTCTGCAAAATATGAATTAATTTTTCACTAAATTAAAAAGCAAAAACTAACATATTTTTATTTTTTTTTCTATTTTATATCTTCAGTGATAAATTTCAGGAAGAAAAACCTGAACGATTGATATTGGAAGGTGGAGAGTTAGAAAAGATTCAACCTCGAAGACACCGAGATCAATTGCCAAAGCCATCGATAGCTGGTGAAGAGCTAGGCTTACGACAATTGATGGCAATTGTTGCCCGACGTTTACCCTTACCAATATCATTCTTCGAACCACTTACAATGCTACAGGTAAACAGAAGTTTACATTAGAATTTTTTTTTTTTTTAAATCTTAAATTAGCAATTAGCTACTAATTAAGTCATTAATTTGACTACTAATATTTACATTAATTATTTAAATGATGCTTTTAGGAGTAATTTAATATTCATTTACAGGATAAAAGAAACTTTTTATTACAATGCTTTAGACTGCTTTTTTTTTTTTTTTTTAGTTTCTAATTTAAGTTTATTCAATTTTAATTCCTCTAAAATTTTCATAAATTTTCGAAGAATAGAAATCTTTTAGGTCCTTTGTGAAGAATTACGATATTCCGGACAAACACTAAATCGAGCAATATCAGCTTATGATCCATTAGATCGTATTGCTTATGTAACAGCTTTTGCAGTAAGCAGCTATTCCGGTATGGTATGCCGGAAACAGAAACCGTTTAATCCGTTACTTGGTGAAACATTTGATTATGTATCTAATGAAGGATGGAAATATCATGCTGAGCAGGTTAGTTCATTTCATAAATATTAAATATCATTATAGTCTACATGATTTTAGCTTAATTAAATGATAATTGATAAGATGTGATAAATGATATTTGTGAATTTATTAAGAGAGAATTTAAAGTAATCAGCAAATTTTATTCATAAAAGTCTAGAATAGAGCTTTTTTTTTTTTTCATTATTCATAAATGTTTACTTTTTTTAAATTTCAAAAAATTTTCAGGTAAGTCATCATCCAGCTATAACAGCTGCACATGCTGAAGGATTAAATTGGGAATGGTGGCAAACATTAATATCAACACCAAAAACATCATGGTCAGGTGTTATTGAAGCAACACCAGAATTACCTGTACGTGTACGATTAGGTAAAGAGGATTATTGCTGGAATAGAGTAAGTTAAAAAAATATTCGTTATTTTTTTTTTTTTTAAAAAAAAGTGTAAAAGTGAAATAAAAATAATTATCATAATTTTTATCACAAAAAAAAAAAAAAAGATAACAAAAAATTATCATAAAAAAAAAAAAAAAATTTTTTTTTTCAGGTAAAAGTAATCATTGAAAATGCCTCAGCAACAGCTGAATATCGTAAATTAAAAATGGATGGAATAATGAATATGAGATGTAGTAATGGTTATACTAGTACAATAATTTTTCGTAAAGATCGACAAACTGAAATTTATGGTACTATTATGGATAATCATGGTGTTACAGTTGTTAAACTTTTTGGTTACTATGATCGATTTTTGCAAAAGTTAGAATTTATTATTCAAAAAAAAAAAAAAAATAAATAAAAGAATATATGCTTTTAAATTCTTAAAAAGAAAATGTAAAAAAAATTTTTTTTTTTTTGTTGAAATAGAAATTTAGTAGAAAATTGAAATGTTTAATAAGATACATCCAAAATTCGTCCAAAAATTAGCTAAATTTTGATAATTTGTATATAAAAATTAAATGTTTATATGAAAATTTTTCCATATGAAATACAAATTTCAAAGATTTTAATTTTAGATAAATTATAGGAACACTTGAAGTTTAATAACTAAGCAAATCAGATATGATTGAATTGATGATATTTTGCTATCATGAAACAAACAAACAAACAAAATTTCTTCATTTTCAATTTTTGCTTTTTTTTTTTTTGTTTTTTTTTTTTGTATTTGCTGAAAATGTTTGAAAATAGTTTTGTAAGATTATCATCTATTATCTTTCATCTTTTTACTAAGCCATTAAATTTTACTTCGTTCATAACTTTAGGGTAGAAATATTTCTATTCAAATTCTGGTTCCATCCATAATTTCAGTGGATAGAAATATTTACTTATTTTTCTTCTTTGTTTAGCTCTACTCCGCTCACAAACTTATGATTGAAATATATATATTTGGAAGAATGATAAAATCAATTTATATGTAACTAAATATTAGATATAGAAGTATATTCAAATATCCTTTAATTATAATAAAATTTTTATTGGGTCAAGGTCATTTAATACTTTACAATACATTCATTTTCTGTCCTTGTTTTTTTTTTTTTTTTTTTAGGGTAAATCAAAAGGATTACTTATTCGAAGCAATTCCATTACCCAAAAATGCAAATCAGTTCTATGGATTTTCACAATTTGCATGCGGATTGAATGAATTTTTAAGCAATGATGAGAAATTAAGTGCTCCACCAACCGATAGTCGATTTAGACCGGATTTGAAAGCTCTCGAGAATGCTGATACTTCTCGAGCTATTGAAGCTAAAGCTAATCTTGAAAAGGTTTTATCATTCTTATTCCCTTTTTTTTTTTTTTTTTTTTTTTTTTTTTCATTTCTAAACATACAGATTATATATAAGCAAAAAGTTAGCTTATTTTACTTATTCTAATAAGTTGAAGTAAATTTGTATTGTTCTATTTATTTCATTGATTAAACTCTTAAGGATTTTTCTTTTTTTATTTTCATTTTAAATATTTTAAACTAACAAAATATATTTAACTAGAATATACTTTTTAAGTTGCAACGAGCACGTAATGAAACGATACATAAGCGTATGTGGTTTGAACAACGACAAGATTTGATGACAAATACAACTTTATGGATTTGTAATGGTCGATATTGGCAAGCAAAGGAAAAAAAATTTAAGGGTTATTCGGATATGCTTCAATTATTCTGGTATATTGCATATTTATCAAATTTGTTTTATACTCTATTTTCAATCTCAATTTAAGCAATTATTGCAGAATAAAATTAGATTATTTTATGGTTAGAATGGAAAAAGATAAATGATCTTTGTAATATAATATTGATTAAAAATTTATCACTGTAGATGGAAATTATCATCTCGAAATACAATTTTCAAAAAAAAAAAAAATAGTGGAACTTAAGAGTGTCACTCAAATTGTACTGATGTCAACTATCAATGGAATCGATCAACTGAGGTATGATATAGACTAAATCAAATATCACGTTATATTTAATGTTCGAGATAGGAAGTTTATGTATTATTTAAAGATATTTCTGTGCCTTAGAATAAATTAACGAATAATATTATAGACATCTAAAAAAAAAGCATGACATATATATATATATTCAAATTTATCCTACTGTTTTTCTAATAATAATAATGTGAACCGGAATAGTATGGTCATAAGCCGATTCAAAAGTTAGTATCGAGTATCGAGAAAGCGTAGTAATATTGTATAGGAACCATTGAACATGCTACTGAGATTGTTTTGACAATTCTTTATATACACTAAACTTTTGAAATTCTCTATACAACTGAAATTATTAATTATTCAGATACAATGCAAAAATGGATCTTATACAATCTATCAATGGATTAAGAAAGCGAAAAATATATGTCACAGCAATTGGCTACTATATTAGTTATAAAACTAGAAAAAAAAAAAGTAAAGTATTAAAGGAATGCTCCAAAGAATATATTTCACATTATAATAACCACATTAAAATGTACTAAGAGAGCTAAATTACAAAAGGTAATCATAATAATACGACAAATACTATTCGAATTTTCTGGCCTTAATTGTTGAGTTATTATAATATCTAATTCATGTTTTATTCATACTTTAACTATTCTCATACTGTCACTGATGCATACAACAATAAGACTATTTCCGACAAAAATCTTTTAGTAACACTTATATTATCACTAATGTAAATTACTTTTTTATTACCTGACATTAGCATTAGCATTTTTAACTTAACTTTTAAATCATTCCACAAAAGAATACTGTCCAATTCAACTCATCGTTTTAACAATGACAAAAATAGCAAAAAATATCTTTAATAAGTGAATAAAAAAATTTACTGAAGCTATGAAGATCTTATAGATCAGTTATAAAACTAAAAAATGACAAGCTATTTCTACAAATATGTACATTGAACTATTATAATCAGTAAATGTTACTTCGTTGAATACCAAACATAGATGCATATGAAATATGCACAAATACCAGCATCAAAAATCTATAATATGAAGAAAGCATATAAGAGTGACTACAGCAGCAATACACATATACCTGAAGGAGTATAACCCTACGTATACAGGCAGTGATCCTTAATTAAAAAATCCTTATTAGATTATTCACAATGAATTATGCACATTGAATAATTGGACAGAGTTTACAGTCCTTTAAATCCATTCTTTTTGAATAGAATCAATTCTTTCCAACAACATTTATAAAAAGAATCTTTTCCAAGCCTCCCCCGTTGAAATAAAAAAAAAAAACCGGTCAAAAATTCAATAAAAGTTATCAAAATGAATGTAATACAAAACCGAAGAACAGTAAAGCACACGATATTTGAATCCAAAACTATGAACCGATACAATCTTGAGAAGTATAAAAATTAAAAAAGTAAGCAAATTACATCATTGAATCAATCGCAAAAAATGAAGACAAAAGCCATATTACAAGGAAGAAAATAGACAATGCATTGAAAAGGCGGAAAACATGACTTTTTCTGAAATCAAAATAAGCACACATTAAAGACGTAATTTTTGAATTTTGCAACCAGTTCATTACATAAATGTCTTAGTAAATCAAAAAAAATATCAACAAAAAATAGAGCGAAAATGGAAGCATGTATTAGAAATCAGTCAGCTTTTTTATCGTAATTTCTTACTATAAAAAAGCTTAATACTGTAAATTTATCATTGCAAAAATTATAAAATTTCTAATGAAAAGGTCAACAAACATAGAGCAGCGAAATGCATACATTTCAGAATTATTGTTTCTAATTCTTTAAAAGACAGTTCCTTAAAAATGAGAATAAAAAGTTATTATAAAATTCTAAAAGCAAAACGAACGACTGCTAGAAATTACCACCTTGAAAAAATTACTGATCTACTATCTGAAGCTTTTGGAAGTTGACACAGAACAATGATGCATCAGTGACTATTACCTTCTGTAAAACTATTTATTGATTGATTGAAAAGCATACATTAAATAAATTCATATGTCCATATTTGGTACTTGGCAGCTGATGCTATCATGGGATGAACTACCAATGCTTCCCTGTGACTCATCGCTTGATGTGTCACCATCTCCACTCTGTAAATGGGACTATAACAAATTAAGAACATAATTCATAGAAATACACCTCGATTTTTCCTACGACTAAAAAATGGTACTTTAGAAATCAACAATTCCTGGCATTTCATAATATTAATTAATCTTCTGCCTTTCCATAATTGTGAAAAAATCATTCATCAAAAGCGTAAAAGAATACATCAATTAGGGTTAAAGAGACAAATAAAAAAGAAGGCAAAAGAATTCTTTATTATTAAATAATCCCGCATCGTAAAAAGATGAAGCATATATTTACCTGAAATCCATTACGTTCCCCATCAACAGTTAATTCATGCATGGCTTCTTCAATTTTCCTTTCCAGTACCTTTTGTCTTTTAATACCTTTATGATCAAAATCACTCGACCAACTTCCTGAAGCTCCTTTTAGTTTGTAGATTTATTCTAAGCATATTTTGAAGCATAAAAATAAATTTATTTGATCAATTCACTCTTAGTTACACTATAACCAATTTTGCTAACTATTTGTCATATGATCAGAAAAGGCAAATCTCAAAAGTACTACTTATATACCATACATAGCTTCCTTTATTAGCACATAAGCAGTGAATTCAAAACATTTACCCGCAATGACCTCAGTCGGTTCACCAACATCAAAACTACCGAGTGATCCTGTCGCTTCAATTATCACAGGAACCGATTTGGTTATACCGCTTCGTAATCTATCTTCATTTGATCCGGGAGTAATCTAGAATTATGTGTTCTAAACAAAATGAGAAATTCTTCCTATATAAAGTAAAAATCTTAAACAAAAAGAGTAATTTCTACTATAAAAACTACTACCAAAGAGTAAACAATATTCACCAAATCAGCACTAGCATGTTCCAATGATTGAATATATGTTCGAAATGAAAACTGCGGTCCCATCCATAAGCGTCGATGAGGATCTAAATATGTCAGCACCTCAATCTGAAAAATTGATAAGTAGAACTTCTTAACTCTATATATAGAACTTTTTTTTTAAAAAAAAATATATTATAAATCAAATGCAGTCATATTTCTTACTTTAGTCTGACAAAACTCTTTACTTCCTTTCTTATCGTGCTAATATGACATAGAAGAATTTCAGTGGCCTCTGATTCTAGTAATATATTAGTTCAACCTGGCTTATCCACTTCGCATTTACTTCCTCTTCTTCATTTTTCTCCTCACATACATCATGAGGAATGAACCACATCCACAAAGGATTTTGCTCACAAATAGGTGCACGAAAATCTGCTGATAGTTTATTCCTAAAATATGAGCTAAATAAGTGAAATAAAAAAGAAAGGATATTTATAACAATCTTTTTTTTTAAATGCAAGTATAGAAGACAGGAAAATACCTTTGTAAAGTCCATTGAGCTACTGCAGTTGGAGTACACTGAATCAGTGTTTCATCAGGATTCAATCGTTGTGGCACACATGGAGTAAATATTCCACTCGTTCCATGGTGCGGAGCAGATGTGACCGATAGTAAATATTCCGTCAAAACACCATCATTGTTGATTACCAACAGAGAAGTGTTTTTCTGATTAGGTATAGAATTCGAAGCGAATGAAATCTATAAATAGTCTAATTAAAAAAAAGCTGCTTATGAGATACTTATGAGATGAAGTACGATTTCACGGTGAAATGATAAAGTTAATATTTTGCACATACCGATAAACGATGCTGATCGCTCGGTTTGGTCGACGCCTTATAGTATTTCTTTCCAGAACTAAGTGAAGCAGGTGTCATATCCGAAGCCCAGGCACTCAGATTGTCAGCTGAGTAAAATCTTTGCTGCAATTAAACGATTAAATTCATAATGAAAGAATCCGTGAGGAGTAGTAAGATAACTAAGAAAGAAGTTAGAATTTAAAAACTGGAACTCGAACAGAATTTAATGGAAGACTAAAAAATCGAAGTTAGGAGCAACACGCACCTTTATTCTCACATGCGCTTCCATACCTATCGGATTTGGATAAGGACCGATACGTGGATTACTTACTGAACGCGCAATGTTACATCGAGAAACATCGGGATGTTCTCTGTATTTAAATGGGATCATTATTATCCTCCAAAAATTCACTTCAATTCACTTCGACTGAAAAAATTTTAAATCTCAGCGGAAATTCGGTGTTACTGGCTTACCTACAAACTTGTGCACCACCAAACTGATGACCTCGTGTTTCGGCTGCTTTCTTTACATTAATATAACCCATTTCTGGTAAACCAGCGGAGCGATGGAACCTATAAACCCATAAAAGTACATTTTGCTGGAAACAATGAACCATAGTAACACATGCTTTTAAAGAATTATAGCAAATGAAAATCCTATTTCTATCTAAATGTTAAGAATTCGATTTCTTTAATGGCGGGTCTTCTGCTCGATGCGAATACTGCTCATCATCTGCATTAAAAAATAGGGAAATATAACATGAAAATCGTGGCATCACCATCTGTAAAGAGACCTATAATAGCATCGCTATTTTAATTTAAATATTATTAGCATCGATCAAACTTAATACCTCGATTCCCTATTAACAATTTCACCACCATGAGTGCGAATGGTCACCTTACCACCATATGGACATATACCAAAAATGTGAGTAGTTCCATGATTTGTGGCTATTGCTAACCAACGATTATCAATAGAA